CACTTCCCTAGTAAGCCACATTACGGTTTTAAAAACACACTAAGCAATATTTTTTAACGAAACATCACTTTTTAGAAATCCTAATTTAACAGAATGCCTTATTAAATTAGCCCATTTTTGGAATGTTAAAGTAATTGGAAAAACCGCGACTTGAATATTAATATTCGAAAAGCACTCAACAATGCATTTTAATGAAACACCAATTTTCTATCGGTCCCTTATACAGGAGTCTATTAAATTAGCCGTTTTTGGCATTTTAAAGGGGCTGGGAAGGCAGCGGTTCTGCTTGGCATTTTTCCTGCTTCCTAATCTTTTTCAATATCACAGAATGAAAATGAACTAATATTTGCAGGACACAGTAAGCAGTACCGTGTTTTGGCGAAACATCAAAAAATTCCCCGAAAATTTTTAAAAGGTATCGTATTTTAATTTTGTTTATCTATAATTAAACGAAAGAAAAAATACCGGCTGATTCCTGGGCAGCTGCTCCCGTTTCAACGGCGATTTCGACCGGGATTTCCGGCCGACAATCTTGTTGAACAGCTCCATGCTGCTGCAATTAGTTTTGTGGATTTAAGTGAAGACCTTTAGAATTATTGAATCAATAAATAAATGAATAAAGTGAAAATGTGTATTTTCGTCTTTTGGATACGGGCCGTTGATACAGAATCGGCAAGAAACGGGTTTTAAAATTGTGAAACATAGACTGACTTTCCGGAATCTTTCGATTTGCCGAGAGACTGTGGACAAGAGCCCTAGATTAAACGGCCAACCACAAAAACATTAAAGCAGGAAGGATGAAACACGTTTTTTCAAAAAGCCAAATTTTTTTTGCGAAAATGAAAAGACAGGCTAGCAGGGATCATTTTAATAGTTTTTATAGTTAGTTTTAGTTATTATAACAGATCTTTTAATAGTTTAATAGTATAATTTGTCTCGGCCATTTTTTAACAACGAGAATTTCCGAATCTTGTGATTTTTGATAAGAAACTAATGGAAAAGGACTCAATTTTGAAAACTTTTAAAACTATTTTTATAATGCTCTTGCAATCAAAAACCGCGGAAAACAAGCCAAAAATACGCTACTCTCAACAAAAATTACTTTCCCCCTGCTAATATACCAGCGTCGGGTTTTTTGGCAGAAAACTGATAAGGGCAGGCTAGCGGAAACCATTTGAGAATCGTTGGCGAGTTTTTCCTCGGTTAATTAAGCAGGAAACCATGTAGAATTAAATATAGAAATATGAAACACCATTTTTCAAAGGGATAGATTCGATTCCCAAACTGGGAATGGCAAGCTAGCAGAGATCATTTGGGATTAGATTTGGGAATTTTAGAAAAAATAAGCAAGTAAGGAATTATGAAACAGGATCATACAAAAATCAAATTTTTCGCTACGGGCAGGGGCATTTTTAACCGGGGGGAAGCTAATTTTTCTCGGTGATCATTTACGGTCCTCAAACAATCAAAATTTTCGGGAATCTTTGATGTAAAATCAAAAATGACTGAAAAAAGAACAACCAACCTTATGGAATTTCCAGCATTTTTTGCAATTATTTTTATAATGTTCCGGCAACGGTTGTGTACCTATTAAGTAGGAAACTATGAAAAAAAGTAAATAGAGTTATGAAACATGATTTTTCAAAAAGTTAAATTCCATACCCAAAATGGCGATAGCCAGCTAGCAGAGATCATTTGGCATGGGGTTTGGGAATTTTATAAAAAAAGAAGCATGGATGTAACTTGCGACAACTATAACGACGCTAACGGGAAATTACACAGGGAAATATGAAACATGCTTTTCAAAAAACCCAAATTTTCTAGAAAAAAATGACAATGGCAGGCTAGCAGAGATCATTTGCGGACCACTACAGTCTCCGCCAACCCTAAGATAACCTTAAACCCCAGAAAAAAGTGTTGGCTGTTGGGGCCCAGGGGCCCAACAGCCCCAGACCAGGGGGCCATGTCAGTGGCAGCCGCCACTGCATGACCCCAAAATTTTTATGGGGGACAGGTGCCATTTGGGCTCCCAAAGTGAGATGGGCCTCCGCCTCTTATCTTTTTCTGTGGGCCCCGGGGTTTTTCCGCATTTCTTGGGGGTGCCCCCCCAAGAAATGCTGGTGGGGCAACAGACGCTTGGAGCTGGTTTGGCTAGGGTTGATTGCCAGACATGAGGATTTTGAGGTAATCAGGAGTGCGAGTTATGCAAGAGGTTACTTTAACCCCAGCCGGAAGGTCCAAAAATTTTTTTGATGCCACGAATCGATAGCCCTAGGGTCCCAGCTACTTTCCCCTTGCCGGAAATTGCGAAAAAAACCAATTTTAAATTTTATACAATTAAAATAGTGTTTAGCGGTTATTCGAATTTTTCTTGTTTTTACCATAACTATTTCATTTTACACTATTTTGGGCAGAAACTAAAATTCTTAGTATATTTTTTGATGCTCTATCGAATGGCGTCGAAACAATCCCGGAAAAAAAACGAAAATATCGCCAACTTTGGGGCCCTGGGGCTGGGGGCGGGTAAAGTAAACCGTAGCCCCTCTGGGTTTGATTGCTAGAGCCGAGAATTTTGAGGAATTCCGCAAAGAGCCTCTGCTAGCCTGCCCCCTCCCACCAGCTTCGTTCGCAACATAAAAAAATAATAATTACGAGCTCGTTAGCGTCATTTCGGCGTATAATTCCTCCGTGCAATCAGCAATTACCCCCCTTCGATCCTGAAACGCTGCTTTCTAAAAAAATTTCAGAGTATCGAGCGGGATACTGTAAGTTTGAGATTCCAAGTTTTGTAACGATAAGCAACCGCGCCCGATTACTGGATCCAAAAAAAACTTTTCTGAAGTTAGATATGAAACATCGAATTTTCGGAAAATTGGTAACTCGAAGCAGTACTGGATTTCTTGATGTAGATTGAACTTTTGGAAGTAAGCTTTTTATCGGGATACGGGAATTTACCTATTTTTTTAAAGGAGCTGTGAAGGCCGGGGGGAGGTAAAAGGAGCGAAAACTTTATTTTCAATTCACCGGATAATCACTGATTTTTGGAACATTCATAAATGCTACGACACTGTATTTAGTGGCACTTTTTAAGTGCAGTTTTAATTAAAACAAAACCGATCATCACTAGAAAACAATTGATTTAAAAAGGAGAATTTATTTGGAATGGATTTAGTAAGGCGCTAATGTTTCCGGGGGCCAATTATCCAGATTCTACTCTGCCACACTGATTTATAAAATTTTTGAGTACCTGATTATTTGGATACTGTAATTTGTAGATTGCAAAGTTTTGTAAGTTTTGTAATACATTCAGAAGTTGCTTGCATTAACCGATCAAAAGCAAAATTTATATTGGACGGACGCGAAACATGCATTTTTGGAAAAACTCGAACCCTATGCACAACCGGATTTTTTGTCTGATTTAGGTTTTGAGGAGAACAAAAGTCATAGGGATACGGTAATTTATAGATTTTATGCTTTAAAGGTACTGTGAAGGCGGCGGAGGTGAAAGAAGCAAAAATCTGTCAAAATGAATCTTGTCAAGAGGAGCGGTATGCGATTACCAATTTTCAATTCACGGCAGCCTCGCTAATTTTTGGAACATCTTTTTCCAAAGTTGCCACATTCGATTTTTCGAATTTTTCCAATAAATACACAAGAAAATAATGTTAAAAAAGCACAGCGCAACTTTAAAGGGAGCGCGACAAGAGAGGGATAGAAAATTTAATGTGAATCGCTATCGCCTTTAATAGTAAATCGGGCCTTAGAATTATGTCGGCAAACCCAAGCAAACGGGTGGTAAATTGCCAATTCCAAGCCAACATTGTCATGATTTCGACGTGATACATCAAAATTAAATATTAATTTTAAATGCAAAATTTTTCAAAATATGGGAAAACTAATTTAAATTCGAGACTCCACAAAAAATTTAATATTTTTGTAATCTAAAAGTTTTCAATTTTTTGTAATATAAAAAAGTAAACGAAAAATTACAAAATTGCGGCCAAAAATTACAAAAAGCCCATGCAGCCATTTATCGCAATTACCGTAGTACACAAATACAACAAAAATACACCTAGCAATGAGCTACCGTAGTCCAGTGGGGGCGTATCAAACAAGCAAATTTTTCTGCATAAAAATGATCGGGGAACTTCGGGATTTTTTTGGGCGGGGGCAGGCTAGCAGAGACCATCACACACATCGAAAAAATATGCAAATTTCAGGTGCTTTTTCAGCGTGGTTGTGACAGCTGGAGGTGGTGGTGGTCCCGGCTGGATTTTCCTGAAAACCCGTCAAAATACAAGTCATTTTGATTGAATTTTGCTCTAGTATAAAAATTACATAAAAACTTGCGAGAATTTTGACTTTTTGGTGAAAAAATTTGTTAAAAATAATAAAAAAAGATAAAAATTTCGAATTTTCAAATTTTCCAAAAATTTTATAACCTTCTAGCAATCATAAAAATACTAAAAACACTATACAAACACGTTATTTATTACTAAAAGGCGGAAATAGGCGGGACAGACTAGACCCCCCGCTAACAGTCCAGTACCCTGCCGATTCAACGAAAAACGAGTTCAAGCTACTTGGTTTGAAAAATTCAAAAAACTCAGCAATCAAAATCCTTTTCGGCGCGAAAATTATATTTTTTAATAGTATTTTGAAAACATGGGGTGATTAAAATGATTAATACTTTGGTCATAATGAGTCTTGCTGAAACATGCTTTCCAACGACCACAATTTTTTTCGGTTAAATTTTAATTCTCCTCGAAAATCCACATTTTAAATGGCCCGATACCCGGTTGTCTAAAAAACTTCTTAATTTTTGCTAATTTCTAAAACTAAAGCCATGTTTTATTAAAAAACCCCTGATTTTTTGATAATGGAAGTATGATGAATCATTGGAAAAAACTACAAAACAACTCCTAGAATTCATTTTTTTGCCCACCAGATTTTTGCAGCCTTAAATAAATGACAATTTTGCGTATCAACTACCGTATTCAGTTGATGACGGTGGGCTTGGCGGAGACGGTGCGCATCCCATTCGGGAGTCGCTTCTGCTTTTGCGAGTGGGTCATATGCACCGATTCCTGGGTGGGAGCCTAAAAATGGGGCAGGCTAGCAGAGATTCTTTGAGAGAGAGCGAGAGAGAGAGAGAGAGAGCAAGAGAGAAAGAGAGAGCAAGAGAGAGAGAGAGAGAGAGAGAGGAGAGAGAGAGGGAACAGAGAGAGAGAGAGAGAGAGGAGGACGAGGGCGATAGGGAGAGAGAAAGCAGAAAGAGAGAGGGCAAGAGAGAGAGAGAGAGAGAGAGAGAGAGGAGAGAAGAGGGGGAAGAGAGGCAAAGAGAGAGAGAGAGAGAGAGAGAGAGAGAGAGGGGGAGAGGAGAGAGAGAGAGAGAGACAGAGAGGCGATAGGGAGAGGAGACAGAAAGAGAGAGAGGCAAGAGAGAGAGGGAGAGAGAGAGAGAGAGAGGGGAGGGGGGGGGGGGGAGAGAGGGAGGCAGAGAGAGGAGGGGGGGGAGGGGAGGGAGGAGAGAGAAGAGGAGAGGGGATAGGGAGAGAGAAAGAGAAGGAGAGCAAGGAGAGAGAGAGAGAGAGAGAGAGAGGAGAGAGGCAAGAGAGAAAGAGGAGAGAGAGAGAGAGAGAGAGAGGAGAGAGAGAGACAGAGAGGGGAGAGAGAGGGGAAGACAGAAAGAGAGAGAGAGCAGAGAGAGAGAGAGAGAGAGAGAGAGAGAGAGAGAGAGAGAGAGAGAGAGAGAGAGAGAGAGAGAGAGAGAGAGAGAGAGAGAGAGAGAGAGAGAGAGAGAGAGAGAGAGAGAGAGAGAGAGAGAGAGAGGGAGGGAGAGAGGGAGGGAGAGAGAGAAGGTCAGAGAAAGGCCCACCTTGCGCGGGATCTCCTTCTCGGTGCCGGGGGCCAGCGAGCGCTGCGTGGGTTCCTGAAAATCGTGGTATTATTTTCCACGTTAGAGAATTTGCCATCAACTTGTTTTCAGTTTTATCGTTTTCCGAAGAAATCTTTGTTTCATCAGATTGCCACTATAGATTGAGATTTACCTGATCAATCCCAGCACGCTGACATGCCAAAACAATTTTTTTTTGCGACCAAATTTTTTGGATAGTCCTTTAAAAGCAATTATTAGACCAGCTAAACTTATTCTTCTTGGTACTTTTGAAAACATAGTGTTTCGACAAAAGTCCTTGATATCGGCCAATTTAGCTGGCCAATCGGGTTTAATAACGTTTGGAAAATCATCGCCTCACTAGGCCGCTTTTAACCGTTGAAAAAAATGTTTCGACGAAAATCCCTTAAAAAAACATGGAGATTTGATCAATGCTCTCAAACGATCTATCTTCAAAGACATTCCCGCGCTAGAAGGCATGCTAGCAAAGGTTATTTGGGATTTTCTAGAGATAGTGAGCCAGCAGGGTTTTTATTCCTTTTCTACTGAATCTAGTTAGCAAATTCAAAAATCTTTTACCAAGTCCCTTTTTCAGAAAAAAATTTTTTCGAGAAAACTCGTAGAAAGGGATTTCCGGGTTGCAGCAATGGATTTGTGGTGTGGGCTTTATACCTTTTTGGTATTTTTATTCAAGTTTTTGCTCATTTTTTCTCCTAATCGTGTTAGTTAGTGTAAAAAAAATTAGATGCAGCCGCATTCCGGAAAAAACAATGTTTCAAAAAATCTTGACAAAAAGAATTGGCGTTTTCGAGAATTGAACCATAAACATCACCTGCTTTTTTTCTGAAATTCCACAAATGGTTAGTAACGTAAGTGGTGGCATACGTCTTTTAATAGTTTTTGTTAATAAAATTTAACCATATTTTAAGCGGAAAACAAGAAACAAGGTAGGAAAATTTTTGATGAGATTTGGCCTAAAAACGGCGATTTTTGGTCGAATATGGATATTTTTAACAACAATAATTATTTAATAACGATGTTTAAGATTAGAGAATACTTCAGAAAAACTCCCGCTATTTATATCATAAAAATTGGATTCTTAGAAACGCCTTTAGATTACCTCATCTTTGTTGACGCTTTTGAAACAAGAATGTTTCGACCAAAGACCTTGGAAAAGACAGCTTTAACTTGCCAATCCCGAACTTCGTGCGAAATTCGAAATTCGAAATTTTAAAGGGTTCAGCCTAATCCACCTAAGGCACTTGCTCACTTTTAAGGCTCTTTAAGGGGAGCATGACAGGCCGGTACCCTATTCTCCATTTGACGCTCCGACGGCACCACTTTGTCATTGTCCGAGCGTGTCGTCGTGCGGCCGCTGCTTCGCGAGCTCTTCCCGCTCGACTAAAACAGAAAACTATTAATTGTAATTATTTAATAGCCAATACAGTTAAGTTTTAATTTTAAAGGGAGTTTTAGTATTTTAGCGCGTATTTTTGTCGTATTTCCCTTACATTTAAGTAATTTCCGAAAATAAAAATGTTTCACAAACTTTTAAGTATTTGCAATTTTTTACTGTGTTAATATCTCGACCCTCGTAACATAATGTTCGATGATATCTATGATAAGAATTTTCATTTCTAAAAACCGCTTAAAAGATATTAAAGCAGTATAGATTGTCGCGACTAAAAATTTACCCCCGCCCCCCGCTAACGCACTAGTACCTGGGAAGCCCAGCCCCCTTTTCCCCCTACCTTCGACGATCGTGACAGGCGCTTCTTCTGCTTCGACTCGTCCACCTTTTGCAGTAGCGAGGCTGAAAAAAATGGGTTTTCGAGGAGGGGCAGGTTAGCAGAGATTTTTTGCGGAATTTGGGACCCACGCTGGTTTGTCTGGCTCTTCTCCATCCGCTTTCGCAACCCCAGATACACCATTGCGGCCATGGCACAGCAGTAGATGACCACCACAAGCAACACCATGATGAAGGCCATACGGGTGGACATGTGGCTGAAATTAGGGCAAATTGCCTCTGTTAGCCTGCCCCCGTCCCCCTCTCTCTCATCCCAAATGGTCTGCTAGCCTGCCCCTCCCTCTCATCCCAAATGATCTCTGCAGCCTGCCCCTCCCTCTCCCATCCCAAATGATCTCTCTAGCCTGCCCCCTCCCCTTTCTCATCCAAATGATCTCTGCTAGCCTGCCCTCCCCCTCTCTCATCCTAAATGATCTCTCTAGCCTGCCCCCTCCCCTCTCTCTCATCCCAATGATCTCTGCTAGCCTGCCCCCCTCCCCCCTCTCTCTCATCCTAAATGATCTCTGCTAGCCTGCCCCCTCCCCCCCTCTCTCTCATCCTAAATGATCTCTTAGCCTCCCCCTCCCCTCTCCTCATCCTAAATGATCTCTGCTAGCCTGCCCCCTCCCCCTCTCTCTCATCCCAAATGATCTCTGCTAGCCTGCCCCCTCCCCCTCTCTCTCATCCCAAATGATCTCTGCTAGCCTGCCAACTCACAGAGCTTCAGCGGTCGGGTCGACTGTCGCCTTGACGTCGGGTGCAGCTTGTTCAGCGGGACCGCTTGGATCCGTTAAGGCGGGCGGGAGATCGGAGGTGGTCGACGAGGAGGAACGGAAAAATAGAATAGTAATTCGATTTCAAATTTTTAATTTGGCTAATTTAATTTAATTTAATTTCAATTTAATTCTAGAAGCTACCGAGTCGTGGGACTGCTCGTAGTTGGTGGGGTTGGCGCGGCTGTACTGTTCGCTGTCGGCGGGGGCCCGGAAGTAATGGGCTGGAATTCGAAGTCGTAACGTTTAAAATGACGCTTTGAAAACACATTTGAGTTCTAGAAGGTTTGAACAATTTCTGGATAACAAAAATGTTTCATTGAATTCCAAAGACTAATCTAACACGATGCCACCTAATCCAGTTCCATCAAAAGGTTGGTAGCCATTGAAAAGCAGATGTACGGTTATGTTTTCATACGTACAAATTTTTGGCTAAAACCGTAGAATTATGCATTTCGCAGTACAAAAATCATCAATATTTTTCTGATTTTTCGAATGTTTCAAACATTTTTGAAGAACCGCAAAAATTGAGAAATTTAATCAATCAGTCTTTCTTGGGGAATTCTTCTAAGGCCTAAAATTCAAACTTACTTCTAAATTCACAATATTAAAATTATAAGATTTTTGTGGTTTCGGATATCTAAGTTTTTCACTTTGTAAAATAATAATTTGGGTAAAAAAAAATAAAACGAAAAATATAGCTGGCCGACTTTTTACCAAAGTTTTTTAGCATTTTTAAGAAAGTTTTGTGGTAGTTTTTCTAGTTGAAAAATAGTTATATTTTACGAAAAATACTATTAATATATCCTATATATATAAATACTATTAATATATCCTATATATAATATCCTACTTGGCATTTCTGGACTTGTAGAAGAAAATAGGATCCCCTCCGATAAAGTGAAAGATCCAGTTTTTGCAATGTTTCGAAAATGTTCAAAGTTTGGCTAGAAAATGCTACTATAATCCCCTCACGATTTCGCGTAAATAACAGCAGAATCTTCGCAAAAACCTATTACAAAATAATTTTATTTTCGAATGTTTCAGTTATTTGCAAAGCGCTAACAGAAATCAACGCATTTATTCGGACGAATACTAAGGCCGTGTCAATAATCCTTCCATAATCCAATAATTTGACGTGAATATTTTGAAACTTACAGATTTCTGTAGTTTTCAATATCAAAAAATTATTTTTCAAATGGGTTTTTTGGAGTTACGGGGGAACCCGTTTTTTTTTCTAAGAAAAATCGAGGAATTGTTTCTAAACTATTTTTTTACTATTCCTAAATCTAAAACATTAGAAACGGTGATTTTAAAGATACAAAAATATCGATTTTCGGCTAAAAATTCCCGATTTGTACCAAAATTTCACGAAGTTTTTTTCAAAATTTATTATTTTTTCTGCTTAAAATCTGGACAAATTTATTATAAACCCGATGAAAACTTTTACGATTATATCGCTAGGCATTTTTCGACTAGTAGGGAAAAAATGTTTCAAAAATATTTAAAGTTTCACGAGAAAATTTCGCTCTAATGACACCGTCAATTGTACCAACCATAAAAAAATATTACCGTATTACTAGTGGTATTCGAAGCCGTGGTCTAAAAATAAAAATTTGTAAAAATTGTATAATTTTTCAAATACCAAAATCGGAGTGCCGGTCGTGTTGGTGGGGGGTACGGTAGCGTTGGGAGGAGTGGGCGTAGTGGATGGTATACTAGTCGTATTTGGAGCCGGCGGAGCGACAGAGGTCGTCGGCGGGGTGTACTGGAACGAAAAAATCAATTCTAAATGTTTCGGCTTTTTGGGGCTGCCACAAAGAATCTCTGCTAGCCTGGCCGGCTGAACTCCAGACCCCCCCAGCCGCCCCCACCTACCGTATCTCGGTTCCCTGTTCAGCTACAGTTGTGTAAAATATACCAAAATACTCGCAAGAGCAAAACGAACATTTTGGTATACTTTACACACCTGTAGATGAACAGGGAGCCGAGATACGGTAGGTGGGGGTCGGCTGAGGGGGGTATCTGGAGTCTCCACTCACCCAATGTCCTCCGGTAACATTGCTCAGCTCCGGATGTGCCTCGTAGAACAGCTCCATCACCATTCGATCTATTACGACTAGAGTAAATGGAGAGACGGAAATTGAGAGGTACCTGGTTGGGAGCCTCTATCCACGACCGCCTTTCCCTGGCCGACCACTGAAAAAAACGGAATTAGGTAGGCAAGCAGAGATCATTTGGGATGAGAGAGAGGGGGAGGGGGCAGGCTAGCAGAGATCATTTGGGATGAGAGAGAGGGGGAGGGGCAGGCTAGCAGAGATCATTTGGGATGAGAGAGAGAGGGGGAGGGGGCAGGATAGCAGAGATCATTTGGGATGAGAGAGAGGGGGAGGGGGCAGGCTAGCAGAGATCATTTGGGATGAGAGAGAGGGGGAGGGGGCAGGCTAGCAGAGATCATTTGGGATGAGAGAGAGGGGGAGGGGCAGGCTAGCAGAGATCATTTGGGATGAGAGAGAGAGGGGGGGGGGCAGGATAGCAGAGATCATTTGGGATGAGAGAGAGGGGGAGGGGGCAGGATAGCAGAGATCATTTGGGATGAGAGAGAGGGGGGAGGGGGCAGGATAGCAGAGATCATTTGGGATGAGAGAGAGAGGGGAGGGGCAGGATAGCAGAGATCATTTGGGATGAGAGAGAGGGGGGAGGGGGCAGGCTAGCAGAGATCATTTGGGATGAGAGAGAGGGGGAGGGGGCAGGCTAGCAGAGATCATTTGGGATGAGAGAGAGGGGGGAGGGGCAGGCTAGCAGAGATCATTTGGGATGAGAGAGAGGGGGAGGGGGCAGGCTAGCAGAGATTATTTGGGATGAGAGAGAGGGGGGAGGGGGCAGGCTAGCAGAGATTATTTGGGATGAGAGAGAGGGGGAGGGGCAGGATAGCAGAGATTATTTGGGATGAGAGAGAGGGGGAGGGGGCAGGCTAGCAGAGATCATTTGGGATGAGAGAGAGAGGGGGAGGGGGCAGGATAGCAGAGATCATTTGGGATGAGAGAGAGGGGAGGGGGCAGGCTAGCAGAGATCATTTGGGATGAGAGAGAGGGGGAGGGGGCAGGCTAGCAGAGATCATTTGACCCACAGCAATATCTGCCCTGCCAGATGACGTTGCTCATGCAGTGCGACGCGCACTTGGTGGCCCAGAAGTTGTCGTCAACGCAGAAGAAGCAGAAACGGGCACGCGTTCTCGGGTCAAGCATCGAGTCGTCGTATGCAGGGCATACTAAAAGAGATAGCGAGTGAGCCAGAGAGAGAGAGAGAGAGAGAGAGATGAGAAAAGACCCACTATAACAAATCCCATCCTTGAGTACGGCAATCTGATCCTCCCAGGTGGTCTGGCTCACTTCGGCGACCAAGGTGGAATGCTGGACGAGCGCGCGCCGACACTTTGGCACTGAAACTACAACACTGAGGTACGCTTCTTTTCGCTTTTGGGTTCTTTTGCATTATCGGGTGGCGGGGGGCATTTATTTGGCACTAGTTCGTTAGCGGGGGGGGAGGCCACGCCCACCCCCTTCTACTTCCAATAGCCTGGTCGGGGGGGGGCCTTATTGGTGAGCCCCCCGCTAACGCACCAGAGCCGATTTTTTTTCTATTAGCCCAGAAATTCCTAGCAACCGAATACTAAGTATTTTAATAACGTTTTCGCGAATTTAACTATATGAAGGCGGAAAGACTTTCTAAAAAAACCTTAAAAATCTTGAAAATCGAATCGAAAATCGCGCAGTTTGGTCGAAAAATCGGTATTTTTTGTATTTCTATCGAGGTTTGTAGTTTTCATTAAATAAAAAGCTTAGGTGTCGAAAAAAAGTGTAGAATTACTTCCGCTATTTATATGAGAAAAATTTTATTGTTGGACCCAGCTACGCATTAAAAGCCACTGATTTCGCGTTGTTAGTGCATTTTCTTGAAACATTTTTTTGGAACAAAAAATTCAAAATTTGGTTTGGTTCTTGGATTCAAAAATTCAAAAATTTTTGGAATTCTGACTTTTTAATGTGTTGTTGATTTTGTAAAAAATAATAATGAAAAATTCATAAATTAAAAATTCACCTTCGGCATGCTGGTCGACTTGGGCGGAGATGTTGGCTATGGCATGGGCGCTTCCCAGAAAGCCGAGCAGAAGCAGAAGCAGAAGCGGCCAGTAGCGCATTTTTGCCCCAGAGAAATGCCGGAATATATTTCCGTATTTTTATGCGGAAAATCATAAACATTCAAATTTCGAATTTTTTTATTCAAAATAGGCAAAAATGCTTAAATGGTAAGCTTTTTAGGGGTTTGAAAGCGCAAAAATCTCAAAAATTTGTAAATAGTCTCGTTTTTAAGAAAGTTTGGATTTAATTTATAATAAAATGGTAGTAAAATTAAATAAATTTCCTTTTCCTTTTGTACGCTTGGCACGACGAGCTATTAATTACGAAGCCAAAAAATTGCGTATGTTGGACTTTTCATGAAACACATTTTTTCAAAAAATTATGATTAATTGGAAATGGTAGTTACAAATCCGGATTGCACGCAGGCAGAGTACCGCTGAACCTTAGAAAAAACGATAATGGTGTTTTGCTAATAACGATGATAAGTGCAAGAAATGCTTTGGATTCTCTAAAATCTAAAGTTTGTTAATTTCTCTGAATGTTAAATTCAGCGTTTTTATCGTTTTATTTCACTCGAAAAGGCGAAAGTGGCAGATTTTTACGAGCTACACGTTTCCACTATATCACAACCTAGAAAAATTCCGATTTGTTTTAGGTAGCAATGAAACACTCTTTTCAAAACTGGGAATGAATTGACATTTTTATTTACGAACAGGGAATGTTTATTTAAATTCCCCGTTGTCAGAGCGCCTTTAGAAGTTAGCCACATCGCTAACGCTGCTTTCATTTTCGTTATACCTGTTGAAAATTTCCCAAAATTCAGGTGATGATGGGATCCTACTATATATAAAAAAATAGTGTGTGTGTGTGTGTGTTTTGTGTGTGCCACTTTGCATCCACTTCCGTCTGTCTGTCCGGAGGATATCTCGAGAGGGGATGAATTTTAAGGTATGTATGATACGTCATTAGATGCGCAATGGCCTGGAGATGACTGCACGCATATCGGATTTAACAAAATCACTTATTTTCGACATTAAATTTAAGTTTTTGTAAAAACTTTTTGTTAGGAATAATTAGCATAGACCGGAAGTGGGGATTCGACTATATAAAGGGGCTCAACAGGTAGTTTTTCATTTTTGGTCATCTGAATTCAGGAAAATTATGCAAAATGAAGAATAAAACGGGGTCGAACGGGGCCAGGGTTGAAAAGTCGCGTAGCGGCTTTTCAACCCTGGTATTTCCTAATAAACCCCAACTGCAGTTTCCAATATCTGCCGAGCGATGAAGCCTTATTTTTTAACTTCCAGAAATGCATTAAATTTTTAATAGGCCTTCAAAAAATAAAACTTGGATAAACGATCGATTATCTTTGCAAATTAAGACCACCCAATTCGACCGAATGGAAAAGCAAAATTTTACTTTTGTAAAACTTTCCATAAAACATGTTTTTCTAACAGGAATTTGAAAAGGCCCGCTTTAGAAGTCTCTATTCCTCTAAATGCAAAAATCCCAAAATTTATTTTTTAATCAAAAAATGGTTGCTTAATTAATTAAGCGCAATTTAAAATTTTAGCGCTCCACTTAATAAATTTCATTTAACTAGCAAATCTTTAGGGTTTTGTAGTCAAAATTGTTGATGCTGAGTTTTCGAAATCCTGGATTTTCGTAATAAAAGAATGCTTAGAAAAATTTCTCTCTCTCACTTTCTCTCTCTTTCTCTCTCTCTCTCTCTTCTCTCTCTCTCTCTCTTTCTCTGTCTGTCTCTCTCTCTCTCTTTATCTCGCTCTCTCTCTTTGAAAAAAGAAAAATGATTAGAAAGTTCATAAAAATTATAAAAATAATTTTATCGATTCGGAAAAACACGTCAAATCTTTATTCCAGGGCGGCGAGGCCAAAAAAACCGATAGAAAAAGGGCTTAACCGGGCGGGGAAGGAGGACAACAAGTACATTGTGCGTGTGATGAGTTAACCAAAAAAAACACGGAGCGAAAAAATCGATAATTGAGGCGCCGTCAGCCTTCCGTGGCCCTTTAATACGTCTTCTTCTTGAGGAAGCTGAACAGGCCGCGGCGGCCGGCCAGCTGGTCATACTCCTTGCGCAGATGGAGCTTCAACTTCAGGAACGTCGGCCTGCAAAATTTTTGTTCTCATAATTTGGAATTTTCAGAGGAAAACCGATTTGCATAATGCCGGATTCACGAAATGCCGACAGTTTAGCATTCCAATTCTTGAAATTTTGCGGGATTGTCAAAATAATGTAATTTAAATTTTTTGAATGTAAAAATAATTTATTTCTAAAAAGCCGAATTTTCGAAACTTCGAATTTTTGGAATCCTCAAGATTTTGAACATGTCGGCTTTTCGAAACACCGAATTTTCATAATGCCGAATTTTCGGAATGCCGAAATTTGATAACACCGAATTTTGATACGACGAATTACATAATACCGAATTTCTTAGCCGAATCCCGGAAATGCCGACACTTCATAGCGCCAGATTTCCATAATTCCGAATTTTCAAAATTCCGATTTGGATAACAACGAATTTTCGAAACCCCGATTCAGATAATGCCGATTTTTCGAAACACCGAATTCTGATCATCCCGATTTTATCGTGCCGAATTTTCGTAAGGCAGAATTTCTTAATGCTGAATTTTCGAAATGCCGCATTTTAATACAACCGAATCTGGGAGCGCCGAAATTCCATAATACCGGATTTTATCATGCCCAATTTCCGAGTCTTAAATTGTCATAAAACCGGATTTTCAGAATGAGAATTGGCGAAACGCCGATTTTCGAAATTCCGAATTTTTAGCATGTGGCCTGAAAAGGGAGCTGAATCCTGATAAAACCCGGTCTTTAAATTGTCGAATTTTCGAAACACCGAATTTTCGGAGTGATGAATTTCGAAATGCTGAATTTGACCAATTCGAATTTTTATAATGCCGACTTTTCGAAAGCCCCATTTTGACAATGCAAAATTTGATAATCCCGAATTCTGCTAAATACGAATTTTCAAAATGTCGAATTTTCGAAATTCGGAATTTTCGAAAATTCTGGTTTTCCAAATAACGAATGGAATAATCCCAAAATTAATAATGGCGACTTTTCGTGGTCATGAATTTTTATAATGCATCGTGATAAAAATGCACTATTTTAGTCGAAACTGTAGGCAGGCTTGCAGAGATTCTTTGCGGAATTCCACCCACCGATGCTCCGGTTCGGTGCTCTGGCACAGCGCCATCAGCTTCAGCACGCCGGGCGGCGTATTCCGAGGGGCTCCGAGTTGCATTCCGGACAGCACGCCCTTCGCCACCTGAAAAAATTAATGTTTCAAAAAATCTTAAGAAAGCAAAAAATTTGAAATCTATTAATGCAGCCCGCTTAAGGACCAAAATAAAAAAATAAAAACCGGGAGTCTCGAAAAAGGCTCGAGAAATGTTGAAAAATTCCGGGTGAACAAGACAGGCTAGCAGAGATCATTTGCGGAAACGCACCTGGGCAGACGTCAAATCCGCGTACGGCATCTTGCCCAACGAGAACACCTCCCACATCAAGACGCCGAAGGAGAAGACGTCCGTCTTCAGCGAGAATTCCCATTTAGAGAACGTCTCCGGGGCCAGGTATCTGGAATTTCCTAAATGATCTCTGCTAGCCTGCCCCCTCCCCCTCTCTCTCATCCCAAATGATCTCTGCTAGCCTGCCCCCTCCCCCTCTCTCTCATCCCAAATGATCTCTGCTAGCCTGCCCCCTCCCCCTCTCTCTCATCCCAAATGATCTCTGCTAGCCTGCCCCCTCCCCCTCTCTCTCATCCCAAATGATCTCTGCTAGCCTGCCCCCTCCCCCTCTCTCTCATCCCAAATGATCTCTGCTAGCCTGCCCCCTCCCCTCTCTCTCATCCCAAATGATCTCTGCTAGCCTGCCCCTCCCCCTCTCTCTCATCCCAAATGATCTCTGCTAGCCTGCCCCCTCCCCCCTCTCTCTCATCCCAAATGATCTCTGCTAGCCTGCCCCCTCCCCCTCTCTCTCATCCCAAATGATCTCTGCTAGCCTGCCCCCTCCCCCCTCTCTCTCATCCCAAATGATCTCTGCTAGCCTGCCCCCTCCCCCTCTCTCTCATCCCAAATGATCTCTGCTAGCCTGCCCCCTCCCCCTCTCTCTCATCCCAAATGATCTCAGCTAGCTGACCTGATCGGCAGCACCTCCTTCGTCAGGTCGATCTTCTTCAGCTGCAGCGTGTACAGCGACAGGCCAAAATCCGAGATTTTCACCCTAAAAGGCAAAAATGTACATTTTAAAGGGACAGTGACAGGTTACAGTACCCCGCGAAGTCACTCACCGTCCCTCGCTGATCAAACAATTCCGGGCGGCGACGTCGCGGTGGATGAGCTTGTTCTTCTCCAGGTAGCGGAGGCCCTGGGCGGCCTGCACGCAGAAGCTGGAATTTGGCTTAGTCTTGGCTTAGTCTTGGCTTAGGCTTGGCTTAGGCTTGGCTTAGGCTTGGCTTAGGCTTGGCTTAGGCTTGGCTTAGGCTTGGCTTAGGCTTGGCTTAGGCTTGGCTTAGGCTTGGCTTAGGCTTGGCTTAGGCTTGGCTTAGGCTTGGCTTAGGCTTGGCTTAGGCTTGGCTTAGGCTTGGCTTAGGCTTGGCTTAGGCTTGGCTTAGGCTTGGCTTAGGCTTGGCTTAGGCTTGGCTTAGGCTTGGCTTAGGCTTGGCTTAGGCTTGGCTTAGGCTTGGCTTAGGCTTGGCTTAGGCTTGGCTTAGGCTTGGCTTAGGCTGGCTTAGGCTTGCTTAGGCTTGGCTTAGGCTTGGCTTAGGCTTGGCTTAGGCTTGGCTTAGGCTTGGCTTAGGCTTGGCTTAGGCTTGGCTTAGGCTTGGCTTAGGCTTGGCTTAGGCTTAGCTTAGGCTTGGCTTAGGCTTGGCTTACAGTGTCTTCTGAGCCTGGTCGTAGGTGCTGCCCTTCTTCTGGAGGTTGTCCTGAAAAATCGAGGATTTTCATTGCATGCTAGCAGAGGTTCTTTGGGGAATAGGCGGGGAGGCTAGCAGAGATTCTTTGCGGCAAAATGGCCCACCAAAAGCGACCCGCCATCAGCCCATTCGAGCACCATCAAAAACGGCTGCTGCTCGACCATGACGCCGCGGAATTTGACGATGTTGCTGTAAGAGAGTTACAGTAAAACTCATGAAAATAAATATACTGAATGTAAAAGAAATATGTCGTTATTTTGTTGCAGTCGTAAACGTGAAAAAACACATTTTGCGATGCGAATTATCGTGGAAAAAATGTTTCGGATTTAGCAGGTTTTGAAGTGCCGTTAAAGGGCGCTACTAGACAAGCGTAGCGTCGCAAAAATATTAGTTTCCGGAGGTTTTTTTAGAAAGTAAATTCTTTTGCGTTTTGCATCTTATTTTGTTTGTATTTTACAGGACGAAAAATCCATTAAAAACTAATTTACAAACACATATTTTTCAAAATTCTGACAAAAAATGTTTCGTCTTTTCCAGGACAGACGGGCGAACGAGGGGGCTATTAGTACTTCGGAGCTCACGAAAAAGAACCAAAATTTTGCAGAACATTCCTCGTTGAAAAGCTATAAAATTTCGGCATTTTCCCAAAAAAATTTTGCGTTTTTAAAAATGTGAAAGGTCCGCTCAAACCCCCTGGCAAATACCGTACTCGTGGTGAAGACGGCGACACAGCCGCGCCTCGGCCACGAATTGGTCCTTTTGCTCGGCGGGCACGGTGGCTGGAAAAAGTGAGCCATGCTCAGAAATTTTGCATCAATTTTACAATGTTTTTAGCTACAAAAGGTATCGAAACAACGACAACAAAATTTGCGAAAAAGAAATGGCTAAAAATCCCCCCAAAAAAAATTAAATATTTTCGATTCTAACTTTCTAGCGATAAAATTTAGCATTTAAAAGGACAAAAGGGCTATTAGAAGGACACTACAAATTATGGTCAAGCAAAAAAAATTAAAACCAGCTTTCGCCCGCAAAAAAACTGTATCTAAATTAACCGGCAGAAATCACGAATTATTGGAGAGATTCCGTCAAATATTTTCTTTGTTGTAATTCCATTTTTTTTGGAGATTCTTAGGTGGAAAGCACCTAGCAATCATCATTGGAAAATAGCCACAAAAAATTTGATGTTTCAAAAGTTTCCATAATTGTGTGGAGTTTTTGTTTTCCAATATTGTTACGTTATCGGTGGTCTAAATTTTCCAGGCGAGCCAGCAAATTTCGAGGGCTTCCAGGGGAAAAAGGTGCGGAAGAAATTTGGGAATTCGCCTAAATTTCAAGGCAATCTAGCAGAGATCTTTGGAGAACTCAGAATTGCACTCGTAAAAAAATTCCTTTTTCATAACATTTTGTCGAGAGCTAGCAGCGGAAATTTGGGGAAATCGCTCAAAATTCAAGGGCAGTCTAGCAGAAATCATTGGAGAATTTAAAAATAGACTCTTAAAAAAAGGCATGTTTCATAAAATTTCTTGCCAGCGTTGGACTTAGAAGGCATATTCTAAAACTTTTGGATACGTCATTCCATAAAATCTAGGAAAAACAGGGCAGGCTAGCAGAGAAAATTCGTGGAACTTGTTTAAAATTCAAGGCAATCTAGCAGAGATCATTTGAGAATTTAGAACTTGACCCTGAAAAAAATGCACGTTTCATAAAATTTTATTGTCAGCGTGGAATTGGTATATTTAATCTCGATGTGATGTGTAGGTAATATAACAAACTAGCAAAGATTCTTTGGGAATAAAAAAATTAAGAAAAGCAGACTAGCAGCGACAATTTGCGGAAAGCGCACCATTTTTGAGCTTCTTGATGGCGACGGCCATCTGGCGCTCCTTGTCGAGGTAGAGCTGGCCGCGGTACACCTCGCCGAACGCCCCTTCTCCCACCTGGAAAAGGCTGTGGATTTTGCCTTCAATAGACCTTTAAACCGGTTTTAAAGGAACGTTGAAGGCAAAATCTGGCTTTTAATCATAGACCTTTAGACCTTTAGCGGCCCTTTAAATTATAGGTAGGGTGCAACCCATTAATCTATCGGCAAAATTTTTGGATTTGAATTTTTGTGAAACATTTTTTTAATTTAAAAATCGTAAGGTTATTATTTATTTTTATTGTTATTTTTTTTTAATCTACTAAAAAGGCTTTAAAAGAAGCAATGAAGCCCATATCAACAGCCGACCTTGTTGCCCATGACGAGCTGGCTGATCGTCAACTCCCAGACTTGGCGAGGCACCGGATGGCGGATGATGGTGCTGAAAATCAATATTGGGCAGGCTAGCAGGGATCATTTGGGAAGTCTTACCGCGGATCGCCGGCCACAATTGGCTGCTGTCCCCTCTGGCCGACCAGATACGCGCCGAGGTTGTCGACGCCCAGCGTGTCCGTAATCTGAAAAAACGAGGTTTTCACATTTCGGATTGCCGATTAGGACTGTTGAAAGTTGTCAACTTTAAATTTAAGATAAAACACATTTTTTCTAGGAGAATTTTATTTTTTATTTTACAAATTTTTACTTAAATAAATTAAATTAACAATATTATTCGCCATTTTTAAAAAGTAGAACGATATCATCCAAAATACCATCCACTTGTCGTCGACCTTCGGGAAGACGAGGTGCATGAATTGGGCCGGTTCAGCGCGCAGCGACAGGATGGTCAGCACCTGGAAATCATTCTGTCTCTCTCGCTCTATCGCTCTATCGCTCTCACTCTCTCACTCTCTCTCACTCACTCTCTCTCTTTCTATAGCTCTCGCGCGTCCTCTCTCTATCGCTCTCGCTCTCTATCGCTCTCGCGCGCTCTCTCTATCACTCTCTCCCTCTCTCTCTCTCTCCCTCTCCCCCCTCCCCCCCCCCCCCCCCCCCCCCCCCCCCCCCCCCCTCCCTCTCTCTCCTCTCTCTCTCTCTCTCTCTCCCTCTCCTCTCTCTCCTCCCCTCCTCTCTCCTCTCCTCCTCTCTCTCCTCTCCCCCTCTCTCTCTCCCTCCCTCTCTCTCTCTCTCTCTCTCCTCTCTCTCTCTCTCTCTCTCTCTCTCTCTCTCTCTCCTCCCTCTCTCTCTCTCGCTCTCTCTTTCTATCTCGCATCTCAAATGATCTCTGCTGCCTTGCCTGATCTGTCTGCTCGCTCCTCCTCACGAGATAATCCCCGGGCTGTGTCAACAGTTCTTCAGCATCAGATCGGGGCAAGAATCCGTGGTAGCAGTCGAGTCCACGCAGATCCTGATCCCCCTCACGTTCGCCTGGAATGGTTAAAGGGGGAGTGACACCAGAGGAGCATGACCTACTCTGATAGTCGGAGCCCAGGATGGAGCCGGTATTGGAGGACTGATAGGAGCACTCGGAGAGATCATCGCGATCACTGAAATTGGCAGGTTGGAGAGAGAGAGAGCGAGAGAGAGAGCGAGATAGAGAGAGAGAGAGAGAGAGAGAGAGAGAGCGAGTGAGTGAGTGAGAGACAGAGAGACCTAGAGAGAGAGAGGGAGAGCGAGAGAGAGAGAGAGAGTGAGAGAGAGAGAGAGCGAGTGAGTGAGTGAGAGACAGAGAGAGACCTAGAGAGAGAGAGGGAGAGCGAGAGAGAGAGAGAGAGTGAGAGAGAAATACCTGTCCTGTTTCTCGGCCTCATCCGCCTGGAAGACGCCCTTCTTCGGCGTGCTGGCCTTTCGCGACAGCAGACCCATCCTGACGAAGTATTTTGGCGAAAATGAATGTTTCATCGATTTTTTGTGATCTCGGAATTATGCGACATGTTGATTACCATTCGAATTGTTCCGCGAAATCGCCAACTTCTGATTTTCCCCAAATTCAATATTTGTATTTTTAAAGGCGCTATCAAACTGCCTTTTTTTATTTCTACATGTTTTTGGATGCGCAAAATCACGGATTTCTGAAAAACAAAATTTTCGGAAGCAATGTTTCGAATAAAATAAACAACGGCGATTTCTGGGTGTCGTGTAATTTATCACGCGATCGAACATCAACAATCACGTTTGCCAGAATATTTTTTTCCTTTAATTAATAAAAACATTTTAGCCGCATAAATTGAGATTCTAATTGGGGGCGATAGAAATGGCTGTTCTCACGTTTTCAAAGTTTTCAAAAAATGTTTCAAACTTTCTGAAGGTGAGAAAATATTCGTTGGTTGTTAATCCTCGTTTGACCTATTCGAAACCTTCAAAATGTGCGATTTTGGTCTCATGGCGTATTACTTTTTTTTCAAAATCCTAGGATCAAACAAATCGTCTTCCGTAAAAATCTTTAGTAAAATAAAAAGACATGTTTCAAACTACGGCCAAATCTCAATCTTCGACCAAGTACCAATTCTTTCAGAACGAGAAGATCGTGTAATTTTTGTAATTTAGGCAATTAAATGGATCAATATTACTTTTTCAGAATAAAAATTGGATTTTAGCTATTGTTTCGATTCTAAATAAAAAGGGACTTTATCTGATTACTCTAAAGCTGCCTCGCGATTAAGCAATACGATCTTTCGAAAAACCTAAAAAATCGTTGAGAAAAAGATGTTTTATTTATTTGTAGTCAGCCGACTGGATGCACTTTTCAATATTGTATTGTTTAGCTTTTCGAGAATTTTTTGGCAGTTTAGATCGCGATAGTTCCCCTTAGTTAAATTTGACTACAAAAACCATACCCCCCCCCAATAATGCCAAAGACCCAAACCGTTGCGAAAATGTGTAAAATTCTATAGAATGTGTTTCAAATCCGGCAAACTAACTCGTGGCGCTTTTTTTCTGAATCATGACAACTCGCGTTCTGCAAAAAAAATTTACTCACACAAAAATCACAAAAAATTCGGGCCAAATTCGATAAAGCTAAAAAACAAATTCCTGCGGAGGTGGGGGACATACACGCAAAAAGCTAACGGCAGTAATTTTCAAAAAAAAAAACTTAAAAATTCCTGAGTACAAGTAAAAAATACAAATAGACAGCTTTTAAAGGGACTGTGAAGGCAGGGCTCAATATTTCAAAAATCGATGGCTCCTGAAAACAAAAATAGCGGGATTTGCGCGAGTAGCCCTCTTCTGGCTTCACAACCCCTTGAAAAATAAAAAATGACAATATCGTGAGTATGAGCACACAAAAAGCAATTCCATTGCCATAACTGCAAAAAATTACCTTAAAGTTTAGCAAACAAAAAACAATGTTTTACCAAAAAAATGAAAGCGTTTTTAATAAAGCGCTGACAATACCGTATCGAGAACAACTCGGCCTTAAATTTTCGAAAAAACTAAAAATTCCAAAATAAAAAAATATGTTTTAGAGAAAATACAAAAACCGTAAATTGTGAAGCAGATAATATAGTTGTATATCAATTTCCTAATTTTCATTTTTAAAGTTTTGTGCTGACAATTTTTGCGATTAATGATGCCGACGAGATACCGTATTCAGAGTTACAGTAGTCGTCATAGGCCTAAGCGTAGTGGAGCCCGAAATATGAATAATTTGCATTTTTCCTGATGGGATTACGGTAGGTGTGGATACGGTAGGCCGGGTTACGGTAGGTACTGTAGTCGAGCTATGGATAGCTGCGTTTTTCTGGGTCCCGCGTGGAATTGGGGGTACTGTTGGCCGAGTGGAAATAATTCTGGATACCGTAGGATGGGTTACGGTTGTCCGGGTTACTGTAGCTGCCGTACGATTCGCATGTTTGGCCATAATTGGCCTCGTTACCGTATGCGTGGTTACGGTATTTGGGGTTGCGATAGGACGAGTGGCTGTAATTCGTCCTAAAGTACGCATAGTTACGGTGGGCCGGGTTGCTGTAGCTACCGTATTCTTCGTACTAGTCGAAATTTGCCGATTTTCAAGGCGTTGGGTCCCGAGTGGAAGCCGGGTTACGGTAGGCCTAGTTACAGTAGGTTGATTTACTGTATTTACCGTGCTAGCAATTCGTAAATTTTCAATTTTCTGGGTCCCGCCTGGAATTCTGGTTACTGTAGGCCGGAATACTGTAGCTACCATGCTCGAAATTCTTGAATTTCCAGTCTTTTGGGTCCCGCCTGGAGCTTTGGTTACGGTGGTTTTTGCTCCGGTAGGCAGGGTTACTGTAGCTGCCGTACTGACCATTTTTCCATTCATTCCGATATTCTGGGTCCCAAAGGACAGCCGGGCTACTATAGCACCAGTTACGGCATGTAATTTGGCCTGCCGATTTGGTAATTTTCCAGCTCCCAATTTTTGCTTCAGGACCTGATCGTACAGCCGCCTTCGATTTATCGGAATTATTTGCCGGGGTCCCGCCACGAACGGCGTCAGGGTTGGGCGGCTTCTTGGCAATGTTCCAAGCTTTGGGGATACGGTAGCAGAGGTTACTGTAGCTCCATTTTTTGAGAATACCGTAGCCAAAATAGGGGCTACCGTATGCCGATTTATTACGGCCGGAATTATTGGGCGGCTTGCTGTCGCTGCCGGGCCTCGCTGTGGGACCCTCGGGATTACGGTAGCAGGGTCAGATTTTAGCGGAAATAGTGAATTTTGAGAGATAGAATGATGGGCCTGGGGTACGGTAGAATGGCCACTTTTCAGGGATCCCGAAAAATTGGGATTTCGAGCTACTGTGCCGCGTACAGTATGCCCGTGGAATATTCCGTTTCTTCGCGAAATTGTGTTGTATTTTGCGGCCAGAATAAAGCGCATCCTGTCCTTCATCCGCTCAACGGTATACGGTAGTTTGGGGGCGTGGCTTGGCCCACTTTTTGAGGGGAAATTCTTCGAAAATTCGGCGATTTTTCGTGGGGCTGGGGTAGCCTGAAAAAAATGTGTTTTGAAAAAGGTTAAAAAGCTGGAAAGTTTTCTCGTTTTAATCTTCACGAGTTGCACGGTGACAATTGACTAATTTTTCAAAATTTCAAATATACCAATTTTTCGCTGCCTAATAATTTCATTTTAGTTCTGAATTTTGTAGAAATTTAGCTAATTAAAAGCGCTGGATTTTTTAATTGAATTTAACTTAAAACGCTAATTTTTGCCCAGATTTTCGTTGTTTTCATATATTTCAAAAAAAAAATATGTTTCGCCGAAACGTACAGGAAAAAGGCATGTTATGGATGCAATTGCATGAGGTTTCTGGCTTTTTTATTGCGACTCCAGTATGCAGCTGTCTGCCTCTTAGGCTCCGTAAAAATAGAAATAAAAATACATCAATTAATTTTCGCTGCAACAATTTAGTTAATGTTTAAAATGCTCTAAAATTGGCCAAATTAAAGGCTACATATATTTGTTGAATTTTTAAAAAAAAAGTAATTTTTCATCTATTTATATGGGTTTTTCAAATCATTCCAAAAACGTTTCACAGGACGCACAGGAAAAAGGCGTTTTTGCTGCTTTTAATTAGCCAATTTCCTTTTCCTTTTTTTTTGCAACGCAATAAAAATTATTAGGTTCTAATAAATTCGAGTCTGAGAGTGCGACCAATTAGCGATTTTCCATATCGCGTCTTCGTAAAATTAGTTGAAACACATAAATTAGACGAAAAATTTTTCTCGTTAAAATTTTGTGTTTTAGTCTTTTTATAATTTGATTTTTCGATTTAAAATTAGATGTTTAAGAAAACGTTAAACTTAAGTGAAAAATCCGAAAATTATTATTACCTCAGATTTGTGTGTC